GAATAACTGTTATCCTGGGACTTCCCTTTGCCCCTATCTTATGTTGGAGCCCTGGTTTTATGGATCTAGTATCTTCCTTTTAGTTTACTTCCTCATTTTGCTGAAGTACTTTCTCTAGTAATTTCCTAAGGAAGTTTGCATTAAAGATAGTTTGAATCCTTGCATATCCTAAAATGTACTGACTGTAATGACTCCTTTACCCAGACCCACGAATGAAGTGAGCTTCATTTGTGAAAATTCTTAGAACCAGTAGTGAGATCTGCCTTATCTTTTATAACACTTACCATATCATTCATTAGCTATATACTCCCCTTGTGTAATCATCTCAACTACATGCATTTATCTTTCACATTAGTAAGTCATAAACTTTTATGAATGCTTTGAAGCACCTACTTCAGTATTTTACACTGGAAATGTTTTGTTTGGCTCCTTATAATAGCTAACACCAAGAAAGTATTAAGCTATTTCTTCTATTAATGTAGAGACTGAAAATTACATTGTTGGCACTTTTCATCTGAGTTTATTTTAGATTGAAGAGAGAAAAGGGAATAATCCAGCTGGAAAAGAGTAACAGGTTAGGGGTCTGAACCACTAAGCGTTTAAAGAGTATTCCTTATGACACTGAAATATAATTTTATATGAAAATACACCTTAAATTCAAGATACTACAGTAAAGAAGAACCAGACATGTTTATTTCGTGCTGTATATTGATCAGATAATTATCCTATCAGTCATGCTGATAATTTAATTACTTAAATCTTGTGCCAGAGTGAACCTACTGAGAATGCAAGTCTGTACTTTACAAGCAAAGTTGTCCTTCCTATCTTTGCCATTTTAGGGATTTTTCTCTTTTTAACAAGGACATACATGGTGATTACTTTGTATTCCAGGTATATTCTAAGTGCTTTATAAATATTAACTCATTTAATCACAACAAACAGAGAAAACAAGTGCTATTACTATCCCCATTATACAGATGGGGAAACCAAAGCACAGAGAGGTCAAATAATTTGCCTAAGACCACACAGCTCACAACCAGAAAGAGATGGAGCCAAGAGTCAACTTCAGGTAGTCTGGCTTCAGAGTCCTTGCACTTAGCCACTCTCTGGGTTTATATATGCCTAATGAGACTATGACAACGCTTCTTAATACTGAGCCTGGCCCTTGTTCTCCAGGTCTGGGAAGGATGTGTGTAGAAAATTAACCAGACATTCTTTGTTTCACAGTTGACCGTGCCCTCCTTGTTGAAACATTTCTTCACCGGGACACACTCTGGTTTTCCTCCCACTTCACCTGTCTCTTCTCAGTCTTTCTGTCTCCTCTTCTCTTTTCAACCTTTTCTCTTGCTCAAGATAAAAAGCCTTAGAATCTTGCTTCCTCCCCTTTTCTCTCAGATCTTCCCTTATCTAAAAATAGTCTTCTTCTAAGCACCACCTAATGCTTTACCCTATTTGATTTTTCTTCATAGCACAGTACTACATGAAATTATGTACATATTTATTCATTTCACTTGTATGTTTCTTCCACTAGCATGTAAACTCCATACTGGATTTAAATCTGTCCTAATTTGGGCTCCTTTCAGATGTTCTCTGTTTGTTTTTACCCCTTTTGCCTTCTTTTAAATTTTATTATTAATTTTATTTAAATTAATTTTATTGTTTCACTTTTCCCTCTATTAATTTAGAAGTTTTACTCTCTGATTCTGTTGTTTCAGATAAATTAAAACACACATGCTTAATTCATGAGTTTCAAAGATCTAAAACAAAATTATTATCTTTCTCCTGGATAACATAAGGACCTTAGAATGCTTTGACTCCATTAATTTTTCTTTTGGCATATATACTATTATTGTCTGGTATTTTAAACATACCTTTTTTTTTTTTTTTTAGTTATTTCTGACATATACATTTTAAAATAATAACTACAATTATGACTTATAACATTATACCAGAACATATAAGATTTTTAGAAATTTCATGTAATGTCTGAAACATTTATATTAACATTTCCATACAAATAACCCAAAGAAAATTTAGTACTACTTGTTTTCCTTTGTTTGTTTTATACTGCAGGTTCTTACTAGTCATCAATTTTATACACATCAGTGTATACATGTCAATCCCAATTGCCCAGTGCAGCCCACCACCATCCCCACCCCACGGTGGTTTTCCCCCCTTGGTGTCCATACGTTTGTTCTCTACATCTGTGTCTCAGCTTCTGCCCTGCAAACCGGTTCATCTGTACCATTTTTCTAGGTTCCACATACATGCGTTACTATATGATATTTGTTTTTCTCTTTCTGACTTACTTCACTCTGTATGACAGTCTCTAGATCCATCCACGTCTCAACAAATGACTCAATTTTGTTCCTTTTTTATGGCTGAGTAATATTCCATTGTATATATGTACCTCAACTTCTTTATCCATTCGTCTGTTGATGGGCATTTAGGTTGCTTCCATGACATGGCTATTGTCAGTAGTGCTGCATTAAACATTGGGGTGCATGTGTCTTTTTGAATTATGGTTTTCTCTGGGTATATGCCCAGTAGTGGGATTGCTGGATCATATGGTAATTCTATTTTTAGATTTTTAAGGAACCTCCATACTGTAAGGCCATCTGGCACCAGCCAGGGGAACACAATCAGATTCACAGGTTGCATCAGACCGAAACTCTCCGGACCACCCAGTTCCAGAAACTGGCCTGGAGACTTTCCAGACCACCCAGTTCCAGGAACTGACCTGGGGACTTTGCACCCGGCCCAGCCTTTCCGCCTTTTGAGGGGCGGGACTAACGGTCCCCCAGGATACCCGAAAAGACCACCAAATAAGGAATACCCTGCACTCTCCCAGATTCACCACACCCCTTTCCCTTCTTCCCCTATAAAATCTTGGCCAACCCTCGCCCGGGTGCAACTTCTCTGGCCCCTTTCTCTTGGACCAGTGACCTCGCCCGGAGCGCTCCCTAATAAAGCTCACTTGAAGCTTTCCTCTGTTTCGCGGTGCCGTTTGTTAAGATCCAACCTTACACATACTGTTCTCCATAGTGGCTGTATCAATTTACATTCCCACCAACAGTGCAAGAGGGTTCCCTTTTCTCCACACCCTCTCCAGCATTTGTTGTTTGTAGATTTTCTGATGATGCCCATT